TTACTTCCATTTTTGGATCGGTCAGCTGATCATTGACATATAACCCCGGCGACAAAACTTTTCAGCACCCCCACGTATCATTAAGAAACTAGCAAAAAAAGTAAGTTTGTGTTCCTTTGGACTTAACTCTTGCGATAGAGGAATTGAAATGAACATGTACAGTATTGCCACGCGTAGCTTGCTTCCTTCAAAAGCCTTATCGATTTTTTTACTATTGTAAAATGATCGGTAAATGATCTGGTACTTATAGAAGACAAAATAAACGAATTTTGGAAAAAGACCTATTACCATGGGTTTAAAAAAATTTAACCATCGTCGTTATCTTTTTCAGCAGGATAATGCCACCGTTTATACTGCCAAAGATACGAAAGATTGGCTCATCTGATGTAAACCCGATTGAGAATTTATGGAGTAACTACAAAGACGAGCACGAAAACAAAATTTACGGCCCGCAAATAAGCGCAATTACATATGGCGTCAAGGGAAGACATTCCCAGACAAACCTACGAGAGATTAATTAATCCTATGACGCGTTCATGAATGTAGTTAGATAATAGAGAGGCGTGGGGGCCCAATAACAAATTCTCTCATTCTACAATAAGATTTAAATAAATAAAGTGTCCGGTGACTTTTTTCCAGTGAATGTATTACAGATTAGCCATCCGAAAACTTTTTTGCTTGACTGTAACTTACGTAACAGTCCACAACACGAGCTGTTCTTTAGACACCCATTTTTTTGTTTCTACTACGTGTAATATTATTATCCAAGAGAGGCTTACAGTTTTAGTTAAACTATTAATTATAATGTACTTATTATTATCCATTCACACACTTTATTAAATTACTACTGTAAAATATTAATAATGCCTATATACAAGGTTGCTAAAATCAAATAAATTATCGAAACATTTCCTTAGTTGGAATGTCACCAGTCGATATGGCACGCCTCCTTGATTTAGGTACAACAATTTTTTCTGGAGATTGTATCAATAGTTCTTCTGTTGGGTAACTGACAAAGCTTAAACTGCTCGAGTCGCTTTGTGATGATCCATTATTTCTACCATCTTTTTTTGGATAGAGTTTGTTGACCACATGATAGCTTCTTTCAATGAGATTAATCGTAATGATGATCGAACTGCTAATCAAGGCTAAGAATGGTACAATGTTATATGAAATTGTAAAGTATCTATACAAAATCTAATTTGATAATGTGCGAATGTTAGTAACAGTTTTGAACTTAAAACATCTATAAATGACACCATAATTACCTGAATTACAAACTGAGGAACATCTTCAATAAAAAGGTTGATAAAGCTTCCCCAAAACATCCAAGCTTTTGTTTTTACCGAAAATGGTGCATTAAATATGGGAAGCCCAGCAAATTTAGATGATAGTATACTCAACACCTCAATGTCTGCGGCTGCCAATAGTGTGGATATTGATGCAATTTTAGGATAATTCGAAAACCAAGAATGAAACTCTGCATTCGTTGCATTTTCTTGAACCATGATACAAAATGCAAGAATGCTGTTACATGTAACTGGAACTGCAAATGCAAAAATGCTAAACAAACAATTGATTTAGTCATGAATTGAAATCAAACAGTTGCAAGCTTTCCCATAATGCTAACCTTGGCAAGAATAAGTTTGGAACATCTCGACTATTTTTGTATAAAAATAATATATCGAGGACCAGATCTTGAAGTATAATAGCTAATCTGAATATTGCAAAGTTTCTTCCCTACAAAACGATTATACATAATTAATATGACAATAGATGCACAAAAAATTTTGCTGGGATTTTTACCTCTTTGTATTTGTATCTGGCTAATATATACAAGATTGTTATGAAGAGTAATATACAAAATATAGCCAAAAATTCGTATTTGAAACTTGCCCACAAATTGGCTGAATTAAATAATACACGCATTAATCACTGAAGGCGGTGGTTGATGTAAAGTAGACATATTATTATTATACTCACGCGTCACTGTGAACCCATAAGTCTCGTCCAACATAGAGATATTGCTGTAATATTGAATAGCTGTAATACTTTTATACTGTACTAGTGTTCTTAGATCACTCATGACTTTGGATACACTTCTCTGGCCAGTGGTTCTTGTAGATTTTATTTCAACGCGAAACAAGAGTTGTTTGCTTTCCAATGATGGATCGTATTGCGGCTTTCCATGAATTGAGAGGCGATCTAAGCTCACCGGAATAACTTGACTAAGTTGACGTTTTATGGAATCCCAAAACGCTACCCTGTCTCCCGAAGAAAGATTCTCATAATAAGACGTTCCATTGGCGGTCAAGCGCAATAATCCGTTTACAGTGTCTAATAAAGCATATTAATATATATTAAGAAGCAATTATAGAAATTGAAAATTGGCATTCCCAGCAACTCACCAGCATAAATATCTTCTGAATCTCCTACAAAACGTTACCATTAACATTTATATTTAATATTAATAACAACATAATCACTGCTGTTCTCCATCATTCATTACCAACTAACCTGTGTTGAAATACCAGATATTTTTCTTGATTCCAGTGAGCGCTTCATCGAATTTTTCACTTTTCACAAAATTACTGTCAACAATAATGTAGTAATTTGCATTTGGCTGATTGAATGTGCTATCCAAAACTTGGATTAACACAGTGTTGTTGTTCTCAATAGACATATATCCTGATTGTCCAGACATTTCTTCCCTGAGAATATCACCGTTACTAGTGACTTGATAAATAGAAATTTTGCCAACAGATAAAACGACGGGAATGTTGTATACAATGGAAAAAGTCTTCGTATCAACCGGAATTGTCTCCCCGATTTTTGGATAAGTTGTGTTAATTGTAGGATTATCATAGCCGTTATCTAGGGCCAGATTATACAAATCAGTAATTGATACTACAATTAATTTTCCTGCTATTAATACTTACCATTCGGCAAAAATTTAGGTAAGTCAGTCGAAATCAGATTCCATGTCTTATTGAATATTTCACTAACTGTCCATACAGAATTATTTGGAAAAGTTAAAACTCCATAGGAAATATGCAGGTCAGTAGGAATATCAGCTCTTTGAACAAAAGTCCCGTTATTGTCGTACAGATCGATCGTGAGCTTATCAAATGTTTTAGGCTTATTAATAGAATCAGTCAAAGTGTTTAACAAATATCCACCGTAGGGTAAGTTGTAGACTTCCATCTCGTCAGTAAGCGCATCAACTGTTATGAGTTCTTTAACGTCAATGACTGCTCCAGTTGATAAGAAAGTGACTCGAACAAAAGTTTCTGATGAGTTTCCAAATGTACCAATACCGGTTTGCATGGTGCTGTTGAGAAACATGTTAATAATACACTGATGGCCTGATCCATCGGATGAAGATGAGCATGCTCTAACACTCAATTGGGAAAACGGAACTGAAGTTTCATATATCAAATAATATTTCGTTGGCTTGTTTGCATCCGAGTTCAAAAATGACACGTTAACTTCCCATTTAGAACCAACTTGAGAGGAGTTATCAGTGGAAATCTTGTGGACTTCCGGAGCAGCAAGACTACCGCTTACAGTCACAAAAGCAGTGCTTGTTGTTCCACGCACTATTGGCTTATCATAAATACCATAACGAATTTCTTTTATTTCGAAAGGTTCCAGGCTGTTTAGTCGATATGTATGATTAGCATAGTTTTAAAGCTCGGACAAATTCAATTATCAGTAGAATACCATACCTTAGTTTGACATAGGTCCAGGCAAGTCGGTCAGCCATTCCCGATACAAAGCGCAAATAAAATTGTTCGTCATTGTTCACATCTCGCAGTAAGGGTGTACGAAACAACGTCTCAATATACGTAGCATAGGGTCCTAGCCATATTTCACTACATGAATGAGAAAGGAACAATAATTAACATTTTCTCTGTTCCTAGAATAGTATCTGCAACGTGATCTTGTGAAAATACCTAGCAAGTATTTCTCCTTGCCCCGAAACAATTATTGCTCGCCCTTCATAAACTCCATTAACAATTCGAAAAAATGGTATGAACGAATGATCATTTCCGAATACAGAAAATTGTATAGGAACATCGCCCTCAACCGGAGGTTGAAAATTAGGAATTCTGCAGAAATTAAACTCAGGCCAAGGATATTCGATAGTGAACGCGAAGACAGTTCCATTTTGGTAAACGTTGCGAACAAATATTCGTGGTTCGAAGCAGGTATCGTTAACTTGTTTAAGTAGCTGAATTATTGCACCATTATTGTAGCTTGGCCATGAGGTCCATATTTGTAACATGTCTTCATTCTCGACATAAGTGATGTTGTTATACGATAAAGCTGATGGCAGCATAATTGAAAGTAATATGTATAGACCGATCCAGCGGTTGGACATTGTGAATTTTGATTATTGGTTCAAAGTATGCTAGCTAATGTAGGATCGATCATCGCGAAACAACCATGATTTTATATAGCAAAAATCTGAAAACAATATTAGGAAACACAATCGTATTGTCCATGCCAAGAACAATGATTTTTGCCGGTCGGTGACACAAATACAGTATATAGTAAAAACCGTATTATTAGAAAAATCAGTTTCAGAGAGAAAAGAATACAAAGTCATTGTTCTTACACAGACAATACATATTTTCGAAGTTTAGTGTAGCGGTAGCTTGACAATAAAGTCGTATTCTATAACTATTATGATTACTAAAAGTAATGATTTGGTGTGTCACGAAATTGAAACCCCAGTACACCCCTACCTACTAGTATTACTATTTCGACGCAATGTGCTTTTTTCTTTCATATGCGTAAGAAGTCTATGGGTTCTTGGTTAGCGTTATGCACGAAGAGTGCACTCATGCATGAAAGTCCGGCCCATTTTTATATCATACTTTAAACAAATCGTATACGCAGTCAATGTTTTAGTTTTCTGTAAGAAATGAGTGTAAAATGCTGCGCATATTATTTTATGCATGGATGGTCACAATTACATGTGCTACAATGAATTAGAATGAGACCATTCTTTAAGTGGTCATTTGCGATAAATATTTATTCAAAGTATACACTCACCGGACATTGATGAATGAAATCTTTGTCTATGAAAAATCTTATATCTATAGAAACTGTTAACACTTATCCCATATGACGACTGATCTATGACCTGACCGTAAAGTTTTTCATCCTTGCCGATCAATCGTAATAAGCGACGCTGCGGTTCTTTTCCTATCCGTACTTACGAGTCATAAGGCAGACATATCCGTATAATGAAGTAAGAAGATAAAGTCTACTGGTCGTTTAAATTTGGGGGATTAAAAAATGGCCCAATTTCTAGACGGTTCACAGTCGTCATATTAATATCGTGATATATTGCTGACTGAAAAGCACAGCATGTCAGTCAAAATATGGAAAATTTCATCTCACCACCATTGATTTTATAATATATGCAGACTACCTGGACAAAAGTCGGTCACCCTAACTTTATTAATTGCTCAAAAGTGTACATAATAATTGGGACTAAAGTTAATTGGGACTAAAGTTATAGTCTAACTTGTTATGAAACGCTTATTTCTTCTGTAAGCAATATAATAAACTGAATCAGTTAATTTTAATATTTACTTTGACTTAACTGAAGCTGAACGTGGCCAAATTATAAAAGTGGGCTACAAAAACGAGCATATCTAAGACGCTTGGCTTTCCTGGAACAACGGTAACACAAAAATTCAAAATTTTCTCTTACAACTGTCAAGACTTACGATTTAGTATATTACTTACGATTAGCATCAGTGATTTCCGACGAGTTACACCAACATTTCCAAGCCGCAGCAAATTTCGTTTCACAAATTAAATTGAAATGTAGGACCAAGAAACGAAACAGATTTCGATATATCGGGTTGACAGATGAAAACGAAACAGATTTCACC